TATGGGCCCGAGGCAGTGGGGGCGGTGGCGGTGGCGGTTGTGGCCGGTTTGGCTGGACTTGCTCAACTTTCTCGGGGGAGATGCCAAACTGGATCATATTACCAAGTACAATTTTTTCACTTTAAGAACTTGAGTTTGATTTTTTCCAGTATTTTCAAAAAAAAAAAACATCTTGAAAGCAGAGGAAATCTAATATCAATTATAAAAACAATATGAATTTAAGTTAAGGGGGCATTTACATAAATACCACACAAATCTTATGTATTTACATATCTACAGCTAAACTTTAATGATTACATTCATAACACTCAAATCTTTAGCATCACATAAAGAATATCACTTTACTAACTCTATAAAAGTCAAATGTACATTTTTTTGCATAGGTTTATAACACCAAGGTGCTATAAATGTGAATATCAAAACTTAGGTGTCAGATATGTAAATTTCTCTTAATTAAAGCATACGCTAGAATAGATTAGTGATAAGGTGCTCTGTGATCAAGATCCAGTCATGAAGAAAACAGCTTCTGTAACAATGAAAGATAAATGACAAGAAGATATCTTATCCGGTTAAAAAGCTTCAAATCCAAGAGATTTCTAATCCACTGAAATTACAGTTGTAATATTCACATCCACGTTCTAGCACTACTAAAACTTAAGGTTAATAAAGTTGGGATGTTTTATGGCTTGGACTTTATCTATACTCTGTCAATTTTCCCTCTTTTATATTTAGGATTCAAGTCAGATTGTATGAGAAATTGAGATTTTCAAGGGAAAAGTCTTGCACATTATGGAAATCCGATACTTGAAACTTAATGGAATTAGAAATCACGCAGTTAAACAAGACACAGGCTGTTTAGTATGATTTTTTTTTTCTACTTTTTGTTTTTATTTTATTTTATTTTATTTATATTTCATTTGAATCAAAATATGCTTGACATCTTTGATTAAGATATAGTTGTTGTAAAAAACACTCAAAACATCTAAAATTTTTTCTTAATATTTTCAAAAATATGTTAATTTGTTTTTAGAAACATAAAATAAAAACACTTAATATGTTTTTAAAAAGCAAAAGAATCAAAAATAAATAAATAAATTGATCCCAAACAAGCTCATAGAGTTACCTTTTATAAAACCCAAAAGGAATGAGGCTTTGTCTTTCATGGAACTACTGTGAAACGAAATCCATCACATATTCATTACAGCGAGTAAGAAACTTTCTCTGAAGAATAAAAAGCCAGAGGATTAAAGATGTATGCTTCAATATTTTTTTGAAGGTCGAGGGAAGGTAAATTCAGGTCGGGGGAGAAGATGAAACAAGATGTTATGATGGTGCATGTAGATTCATTTTTTATTTTTTTTAAGAAACAGATAACGAACTGCAGCAAACAAATTCTATGGCTTTTAATAGGTTATATAATGGATTTTAAATCAGAGAAGATTCCTTGGCATTAAAGATTAAAAGTTGTGCCATATATAGGCACATAAGGTAAGTAGAAAAAGAAGAAAAATAAGGAGACATATAACCTCAAATAAGAGGATATAAATATTAAGCACTAGGAGAATATATTTCCTAATTTAATACTTTTCAAGAATAGTACCTTAAAATTTTGTTACTTTTCTATGATAACACTCCTCCTTAAGATGGTGCATAGATGAACAAAAAATTTTAGTTTATTACAAAGATTCAAAGACAAGGTTACATGGCTTCAGTAAATATATTAAGCAATCATTCTTCACTTGGTAGGGGAGAAGTGATTTTCTTTAACAAGGCTGCATATTTTATGCAATGTCAGACTATTGCAATATGTTTCATTCTTTCATAGAATGTTTGATTGCTTGCTGTTGAGAAAATTAGGGCGAGGAAAAAACAGTAACGACACAAATCCAGAAGAACACAGAGATTTAACGAGGTTCGGCAAAGATGCCTACGTCCTCGGGAGCAGAGCGGCGAGTTCCTTTCAATATTCAGAAAAGAGTTTACAGATTCAAGGATTACCTCCTGGGGTTACTAACAGACATATTTATAACCCCAGGAGTAAACCTTAGACACAATATGTAATTACTACATTACCCCTGTACCAAACCGCAGGGCTTTGCCCCCGCACCCCAACCCACGTAACTTTCCAATTTGAACAGATTCTTCTGCTTCGATCCAGCGTCTATCCCGATATGATATATGAGTCATACCATAACAGGTTTACCTAGAACAAAAAAAGGGTTTGATTCTATTATGGTTGTAGTAAATCGGTTCTAAAAATGTCACACTTCATTGCTTGCGAAAAGACATTTGAGGCCCTCAACATAGCTCGACTATTTTTTCTGGAAATAGTTTCACTTCGCGGGTTTCCGAGAAGCTTAAATTCTGATAGGAATGTTAAATTCATGAGCTATTTTTGGCAAGCAATGAAGCGTCTACGTGGTGATCTTTGCTTGAGTTCTGCTTACTACCCACGAACCGATGGGCGAACAAAAGTTAGAAATAGGACACACAATCCTATAGTGCAATGTTTGGCCGGTGACCAACCTTAACAATGGGACGAAGTATTAAGTCAAGCTGAGTTTGCTTATAACTCTATGACCAACTGATCTACAGGTCGTTCTCCATTTAGCTTTGTTTATACAAAAGCACCCAACCATATCATGGATTTGGCTGTTCTACCTGCAGCTCGCAACAAAGCTGCTGAAACCTTGACAGATTTTACAGATATTCTTGAAGAGGTCGAAACAAAATTAACCACTTACACACAACATTATAAGTGGCAGGGAGATAAAGGGAGGCGCAACGGAGCTTGTAATATGGGTCACGATCTATTTGCTCAAGGAAGGATTTCTTGTGGGGACTTACTCCAAGCTAAAGCCTTGCAAGCTAGGCACTTGTTCCCATGATTAAAAAAAAGAATCAAATGACAATTCGTAAGTTGCAGAGTTACCATCGTATTTAAGTATCTCTTCTACAGTCAATGTGAGAGACATTTATAAATATCACCCTCCGAATTCCGTGGCTGTCACCGAACTCTGTCTGAGTTCTTCTGAAGCGGAGGAGAATATGGCATAGCAGATGACCTCGCGTGATTGGAATTTATATGCTTTTCTATTTTCCTAGTTTATTATTATAGCAGTTGGTAAGCCTCATTAAGTTAGCTTATGTTTAATTCCTTCTTATCTCAACCTTAATTGTGGTCAGAAACTATATATATATATGTTATTCATAATGATGATTTGCCTCCTGTACACTTAAGAAAATGTGAATTTTCTCCAAGTAGTTTTGTTTATGTGGGAGACAACTTGACACCGTTGATGAGTATTTTAATCCTTCAACCGATCAAAAAGTTTAGGATCAAGAGACCTCTTCAAAATTGAAATTGAACGATCATAATCTTAGGGCAACGAAAGAGTAGATGAAAGCTTTGATCTTTGAGATGAGTATGACTTGTGATCTGAACCTTGCCATTGGATGTTTTTGAAATTGGTGATGAAGTTGATCTAATTTGGACCATTAGATCTTAAGGCAATAGACAAATAGGTGAATCCTTGGGGTTTGACATTAATCTTTCTGATTATTTGAATCGTATTCTTGGTATTTTTTTGAGATAGTGAGATTAATGTTCGAGATGATGTGTGAGTTGAATTCACAAATTCTAGTTGAGGCTTTGAGATCAGTATTACTCCCTAACCTTTTGATTGATGAGTCATACATTTTGAGTTGATTTGATTGTTCAAATATTATTGCAAAGTATGAATCTTGAAGTTCTTGATCAAATGATTGAGATTAATGATAATAAGATAATTTTATCTAAGTATCAAGCAAACAAAATTTTAAAGGTCTTAAATCTTCCTATGAAAATGTTTAACTGCATTAGAAGATTAACTAACCATGAACAAAGTTTGTTTTGCCTGCACTTATTTCTTGTACTTAATAATTTGAGTACTACCCTAATGTGTCTAACAATTCGAGTACCACCACTTTAAGAACAATTGTGTCAGAGGGGATTCGAACCACTGACCAGAGGGGTATTATACTGTGAATGCCAACCAATAGGCTAGGGCATGCGACACATATATTATATGTGTTTGTGTGTGTATGATTCTATTATGTATGAAAATATGTATTTTATTTTAAAATTTAAAAATAATAATATTTTTGAAGTGATATAAAAAAATTGGGTGGTATAAAAAGTAAAGTTTAGATGTTAGATGTGTAAATACATACTAACTGTGTGGTTCAAATGCCTCACTTAAAAAACATCATAATATCATGAAAGAGCATTTACATAACACCCAATTCCTAGTATTTACATAGCCAATACCTAAACTTTAATTTTTATATTTATATCATTCAAATCTTTCATAACACGTAAAAAATATGACCATATTTAATTTAAAAAAAATGAAATACACAATTTTAATGCACAAGGTGGCATGTATATAAAAATTGAAGTGTAGCTTCAGATATATAAATACATATAAATTATGTGTTATGTATGTAAATCTTCCTTAATATAACCAGTTGTCGGAGGTGACGTGAGCCGTGTAAATTTGTATCTCTGCCATTTGATCAATCCCTTGTACTCAACCTGTTTTAAGTTTTTGCCGAGACGGAAAGCCACACAGCCGAAGCGTGCGAGAAACCTACCACCACGTGTTTCTCTTCACGCCCCCACAAGCTTTCCACAAGATCACTCAACGGAAACAGATCTCAAACAAGCGTCGGGGAAGAAACAAGAACAAAAAAACTCGGATAAGAAGTCCAGAATCAGCTCAAATATATCATCTATGGCCATAATCAAACCTCGCTCTCTCAGACATAAAAAGCTCTGTCCTTTACCAGTTTAACTAAAGCTGAGAAGAGAGAGCAGCAGAAACCATGCTTCGGCTACAGTTCTGCAACTACGCAATAACTGCAACACGGTTTGCCGGAGACCAAGCTCGACGGAGTGGAAGCGTACTTCGGCTTCAAAGCTTGAGCTTTCTGCGGTCGAGATTTTGCCAACTCTGCGTCGTCAGAGCATTGAAAGATGAACCAGATGGGCGGAGCAGTGGATTCGCCGGCCAGAGTTGGGATCCAGGGCTGGAAAATGAGGTTCCTTTCGAACAGAGACCCGTGAGTTTAGCTTTTCCTTTCTGTCTTCTGCTGTTTTTCCCTTCTACTTCAATAAGGTTTTGAAAATTTAATCATCTACAGGTGAATGAGTATTCGTCGTTGAAGAGCAGTATACTATACTCGTGGGGTGAACTTAAGCCAGGATCATTTTTCCTGCGCCTTGGTGGCTTGTTTTTAGTGACATTTACTGTTCTGGCAGCGCCAATCGCTGCTGCAAGCTTTAGTCCTACTAAGGTATGAGCGAACAAACCAACCATTATGATTAGTTGATTACCATAGATCGAAAACGATTTAATTAGTCTTGCTTTAGTATTATTAGGCAGCAAATAAAGATTTTTTCTTGGATGATTGTGCCAATTTTTATGTGAATTTTTGCTGTAAATGTAGGATCCACTGAGATTTGCGCTGGCAGCTGGGACTGGCACTCTTCTCTTGGTGTCTCTCGTTGTTCTGAGAATATATTTGGTATGAGTACATTTTTTGTGCCCTTGGACATTACTTGCTTTTAAATAAAACAAATAATGACACTATCAACATTCAAAAAAAATTGCTGCAAATGTTTCTTATGATGTTGAGATAAAAGTAATATGTTCTTAATGCTAGAAGTTTTTTTGTCTTTTTTGTTGTCCTAATTCGAGATGGCAACAAGAAAGGAAAGGGGTTAAGCAACTCCCACCTTGGGAACTCCAAGAAAAGTAGTAGTCCTCATTGCATCGATGATGGTTCCATGTATGCCGATCGAACAAGTGATAGACTTGTTATGGCATGGCTCATATACCATATAGGGACAGACGCTGGAACGAAGCGGAGCGGAGCGGAGCGAAAGAATCTGTCCAAATTGGGAAGTTACGTTATATGGGTTGGGGCTATACGGTACAGGGGTAATTTGAGAATTACATATTATACTGCAGGGCTTACTCTAGGATTATAAATAGACCTGTTTGTAATCCTAGGTCTTTGAGAGAGTTGAATTTTGTATTCTGTATTCTTTTCTGAATATTGAAAAGGAGGTCGCCGCTCTGCTCCCGAGGATGTAGGCATCTTTGCCGAACCTCGTTAAATCTCTGTGTTCTTCTGGATTTGTGTCGTTACAGTTTTTCTTCGCCCTTATTTTCTCAACAAGTGGTATCAGAGCCAGGTTCAAGGGCGGAGAAGAGATCGACGCAGGGACGAAGGAGGATTCGTTGTTGTTTTGGCAGACAAGTTCTGCGACGGAGGAAGAACAGACAAGGAAGGAGTAGTTCGCGAAGGGGTTCGCGGAGGAGTTCGCGAAGGAGGCTTGGCGCAGGCGAGGGATATCTGTTCTCGCGACACGAACAGGCAGAAGTTCGAAGAACGGCGACAGAGGAGTTTCGTGATTGAGAGAAGCTCTTATTCACGGCTTGGGCGGACGTGGCTCGGGCGGTTTGCAGGAGGCGTGATCGGGAGACGAGGCGCAGCGTTGCCTTCCTCAGGTCGGCCGAAAAAGGAAGGAGAGAAATTTCGGCGTTCGGACAGGAATCAAGGAATCTAGAAGAATATTCCCTCCTGTTTTTAGCTTGTTTGGTGGCCCGGCGGGAAATCAAAGGAAAGCCAAGAGTTGCTGCAAAGTAGCTGGAAAGGAAATATTTATTCCCTAGAGGAAAGGAATATTTGGCGCTGGACATTGGCAGGGGAGGAATCCGAAAATTGAAGGAAAGTCTTTTTTTTCTTTAATTAAATTGCTTTAATTAAATTAAGCAAATTTAATTAAGAATTTCCTTTGCTGGATAAGAAGAGCAAATAAAGAAAATATTTTTCTTTTCTTGGAGGCGGAGAGAAAAATTTTTTTGCTTTGCTGATAGATTTTGAAAGGATTTTTGCAGAAGATTTTGTTTGCAGAAAAGTTTTTGTTGCAGGATCAAAATTGTTCGCAAGGCGAACGGGCTCGCGGGAACGAACAGGTGCGAAGCAGTTCGGATAAAGGGCTACGATAGTTCGACGAGTTATGCTTCGAGGAGTTCGTGGTTGAGGCGGCGTCGCGATTTTGAGGCACGACAGTTCATGAACTTTCGCGGCATTAGGCGAGGTGGAGTTCGCGAACAGGAGCTCGTGTGCAGTTACCGCGAACAGGAGCATTTTCAAACAGAGGATTTTGGTGATTGAGTTCGTGTGCAGTTACCGCAGCGGAGTTTGCAGGTTTGTCGCAGGAGTTGCGGCATGTGCAGTTGCCCAGAGTTCGCAAGGTTTGTCGCAGGAGTTGCGGCATGTGCAGTTGCAGCGGAGTTGCGGCATGTGCAGTTGCAGCGGAGTTGCGGCATGTGCAGTTGCAACGGAGTAGGAGTTGCGGCATTTGCAGTTGCAGCGGAGTAGGAGTTGCGGCCTGGGGGGTTGCAGGCGGGGTCGGCGGGCAGGTTTGTCGCAGGAATTGCGGTATGTGTAGTTGCAGCGGAGTTCGCAGATTTGTCGCAGGAGTTGCGGCATGTGCAGTTGCAATGAAGTTCGCAGGTTTGTCGCAAGAGTTGCGGCATGTGCAGTTGCAGCGGAGTTCGCAGGTTTGTCGCAGGAGTTGCGGCATGTGCAGTTGCAGTGGAGTTCGTAGATTTGTCGCAGGAATTGCGACATGTGCAGTTGCAGCGGAGTTCGCAGGTTTGTCGCATGAATCGGTAGGGTGCTGGCGAGCGAGTAGACGAGATTATTCGCGAACAATGGTTTCGCGGAGGTATTTCACGAAGGGTTTCGCTCACGAGACAGCAGTTTAGCAGAGGTGCTGGCGCAAACAAGAAAAGTGCTTCAACTCACATTTGTGCATAAGAAACTCCATGATATTTTTCTCCTAAGAGGCTGGATATTCGCTAGGTGGAGATTTTCTCCTAAGGGGCAGGATGTTCCCAAGGTGGAG